GAAGGAAGGAAGGAAGGAAGGAAGGAAGGAAGGAAGGAAGGAAGGAAGGAAGGAAGAAAGAAAGAAAGAAACGCAGTTGCCTTTTGACAAAAGCAACTTTGGGATAGCCTGAGCACTTCCACAGACACATGCAGGGAAAAATTAAGAAAGGGAAACGGATTTGCAGTGTGGGAGGGCTCCATCCCTCTCCTAGAAGAATGAAATATTTTCAGAAATATTAAAAAGGCAGAATATTGTATTTCCCTGGATGAGAAGTGGAGAAACAATTTTTTAAAAAAATAAAAAGACAGAAAGCAGACCCAATCTCAGGTTTTTGTGAGAAAGTTGGAACCAGCCTATCTACAAAGCGAAAACCCTCCAGCTCCAGGATGATGGGATTAAGACATGACCCCTTAGGAGAGTGGTTCTCAACCTGTGGGTCGGGACTCCTTTGGGGGTCGAACAACCCTTTCGCAGGGGTCACCTAAGACCATTGGAAAACACATATTTTAGAAAAAATACGGAAAACAGAAAATAATGTTATGGTTGGGGGGTCACCACAACATGAGGAACTGTATTAAAGGGTCGCGGCATTAGGAAGGTTGAGACCCACTGCCTTACCGAGCACGTGCGGCCTTGCCTGTTTGTCTTCTGGGTTTCTGGCACGCATGCACATGTGACGATCAGCTGTCCTTCGCGCCTGTGGCAGTGCCAAAAACCGGTGTGCGCGCATGCACGCTGGCCAGCTGATTGTTGGGTGCGCATGTGCACCAGAACCCAGACGTTCGGCTTTTCCGGAGTGCAATCCCTTTGCGTGGGGCAGTACCGAAAACCGGCCAGCGCATGCGCAACAGCCAGCTGATTGTCAGGGGCGCATATGCACTAGAACCCTGAGGTTTGGCTTTTCCAGATCACGGCCCTGCTGAGCACGTGTGTGTGTGTGTGTGATGTTTCTGCATGAAGGCTCGCCATCACTGTCCTAGGATTTTTACATGGCACCATGAGTGTCCGGCAACACCCAATAGAATACATGTTCTTGCACAGGAACAGGAAGCTCAAGTTCAAAGCCCAAGAGAAGGTATAAAAACCCCTCACTCTCAACTCCATGCAGTCAGCTGCATCCTTAAATCATTTGGTTCCCATCAGCTTCCTGCCTCCATTTTGTTTCCAGTCCCTTTCTCCAGTCTTGGAACTGAACCAGATGGATATTTCTTCCAACAGCAGAAAGAGACCAAAAGTTTGGCCCAAAAAATACCATCATATTTAGCAACTAATTTCAGTTAGGGATCCGAAGTTGCCATTGTCCAGTAGACTTTGCAAAGAGACAATACGGTGATATACGCTACAGATAAGGAGCTTCATTGTCAACTCATAGACATACTGATGAATTAAGAGTGCATTTTTTTCTGCATAGGTCTAGAAACACATACTTTACATGCCCATGCGCACAACCCCTCTCTCCTGATCATGATCAGGCATGTCCATTGGAACTGTCTCGATCAGTTTTTCATTGCAGGTATTGTAGTTGAGGCTTTTTAAAGGCATTTGCTGGAGTGACAGCTCTACGTCTCTCTCCTTGAGATAATTCTCTGGCAGGATTAATAATCTCTTAGTGAACATAGCATGATGATTCTTTACCAGATCGTCAGCCAGATCCCACAAGAAATCAATTTTATGGCGGACAGAACTCTTCGCTGTTTCAGTAATGTGCAAAATTTTATGGCCTTCACTAAATTCTTCTCGTGACTGAGTTCACTTGAGAAGGATTTTTAAAAACTCTTACTTGCCTCAGAATTATGACTAGAGAAATAAGTTGAGGTTTAGCTGACTGGTCAGGTATGAGATTTCAAGCTCATCTTACTTTATATTAAATATAGTTCATTTATAAATATTCAAATCCAGTGATGCTGGGATCAGCAGCTGCATATTTGTCGCCCTAAAATAATGCTATTTTTTTTCTGAAGCCTTACACATCTAAATTCACAAAGTGATACCTCTGATGTTTTTAAGCACTTAATTTATTTACGTATTGTTCCTCATATTGAAGCATTTCAGCATTCTTTGCAATAAAAGCAGCAGGTTTTTTTAAAAAAAGAAAAAAAGCTTGGTAATAACAGCTAGGGATGTGCAGAGTTGAGAACCATAAATGGAATCTTCTGGAAAACTGTGGTTTGGGGGTGATTGCCAAACCAGCTTCCAAATGGCACGTCCGAAAGAGTTTTGAGATGAGCCAGTGTTGAACCGAACTTTCCAGATTTAAATGGTACATCGACAAAATGTTGACAATAAATAGCAGGTAGTAAAGTACACCAGAAATAAAAACAACTTAGGAGCAAACATTAGAAAAAGTTGACAATGGTTGACAATGTTTATTAACATAAGTGCAATCTTTAGAGATGTAAAGGAAGAAAAATAGCATTCTCTTCCTTCCCTTCCCTTCCATCTTCCTTTTCCTTTTAATCTTCTCCTCTCCTCCCTTCCCCTCTCCCCTCCCCTCTTCCCTTCCATCTTCACTTCCCTTCCCTTCCATCTTCCCTTTCCTTTTCTCTTCTCCTCTCCTCCCTTCCCCTCTCCCCTCCCCTCTTCCCTTCCATCTTCACTTCCCTTCCCTTCCATCTTCCCTTTCCTTTTCTCTTCTCCTCTCCTCCCTTCCCCTCTCCCCTCCTCTCTTCCCTCCTCTTCACTTCCCTTCCCTTCCATCTTCCCTTTCCTTTTCTCTTCTCCTCTCCTCCCTTCCCCTCTCTCCTCCCCTCTTCCCTTCCATCTTCACTTCCCTTCCCTTCCATCTTCCCTTTCCTTTCCTTTTCTCCTCTCCTCCCTTCCCCTCTCCCCTCCCCTCTTCCC